GCATCAAAACTCTAAGCAACTGAGAGAGAGTGGGCACCTCCCAGAACATTGTTTTGTGCCATTCCCAACAGAAATACTCCAGGTGGACAACTTCAGCAATCAGGAGCTCCTCAGTTGCTCATAGAAATTCCCACCTTGGAGTTTACAAAGACTTATGGGTAGAAAAGCCACACTAAGTAATTTACTGCACCACAATACCATAAATGGGTGGCTTTAACAAATAGGAGTTTATTCTCCTTCAGTGTGGGAGACTAGAAGTACAAGTTCAGAGTGCCAGATGGTAGGGACTGGGTGAAAACCTCAGCCTTGGGCTTCAGGTCTGTCTCTTGCATCTGGCCTACTGAAGCAGGAGGCTTTCTTCACTCAGGCAGCTATTGGCTGCTGAGGGTGACAAACCCAAGTTGACAAGTAAAATGGTACAATCCAGATATTACCAAAGCACACAGCAGGCCGTTGATTCAAGTCCACTCAGAGTCCCATGATTGGCAGACAACATGGCAGGCTTCTGAACAATGACTTGGTTGCATGCAGGATTCAAGCATGCAAAAGCTAGAGACCTTCCTCAAAGTTGCTTCTTATATACTGGAAGCAGACCACATTGCCACATCTGGCAAAACCACACAGGTCACGAAACAAAGTGACATGAAAGGATTAAAAGTTTTTTAAAAGGAATGGGGGCCAGGTGGAAGCCTACATATTCTGCAAGAGTGACCCCTGATACATCCATCCTGCTTTATTTATATATAAGCACACAATTATGTCATTATTCTTGATATTTCCTTAAAACAAGTATTCAACCAAATATTCTTCTACAATAAAATCAAATATTTCCTTATAACAATCAGTTATTAATTAAAGGTTAAAGTTTTACTTTTTCCTGTACCCAAAGGCATTTTCCCATGTCCAAATATATTGGATAATTAATTAGGCCAGGTACAGAGTGAGACAGTGGAAACAGAGCAGGCTGGAAGCCTGAACAGGCAAACCTGGAAAGGATATTGTGGCAAGCTCAACACAGTCTGGATCATAGTGACCCAGTAAAGAGCAACAAAGGGACCACAACACAGTTTGGATTTTATGAACAGTCAGGTCCAGGACCTGTCTGACCTGTGACTGCTTTATTTTATGCACTTTGCAGGGATTAGTTGATTTACTATAGAAATAGAAAACACACACACAAAAAAAAACAAACCCATTACCATCAAGTTGATTCTAACTTGTAGTGACTCCCATTGGGTTTCCCAGGTGGTAAATCTTTATGGAAGAAAATTGCCTGGTTTGCCTTTCATGGGGTGGCTGGTGGGTTTGAACCACCAACATTCTGGTTAGCAGTCAATTGCCTTAGGTGTTGTACCGCCAGAGCTCTTTTACTATAGAAATAGTGGTTTGAAAATCAACCCAATAGGATTGACTGACTTGTGGTCCAGCTAGGGGATTGGTCACTTTGCCATCCTGCTAGGCTTACATAATGGCCAATCCCACAGAGATTAAGGGGGGACCTCACAGCCATCATGAAGAGTCTGGAACAGAGCACATGGTTTGGAACCAGAGCCCCTGCACTAGAACCTTCTTGACTCAGAAGGGAGCTATTACACTGATGATAATGTAAGATGCTGAGAAATGGCAGCAAGCTTGGCAGAGATGAATGGTAGATAGATGGTGGCAGCAGTGTGTGCAGCAGGAACCATGATACCTGCACAAGATGGCTGCAGTGGGTTTGCTGGCCCATCAACATAGGCAGCTGCATTGACTTATTGACCCATGGAGAGAGAAAGCTGAGTGCCTTTGGGCAGAAAATTTGTGGTGGAGTGGGATGCCTCTGGGAACTTGTTGGTAGAGCTAAAAGAGCTGTGTCACTTTCCTGAGCAGAGCAGAAACCTAGAGGGACCTGGCAACAGAACAGCCCAGGAAGGGGCCTGGTGGAAGGGGCCATGGCAAGAAGCCAGGAAGAGGGGCCTAGCAGCAGAGCTGGTGATGACAGCAGAAAGCAGTTGGTAGGATGGCAGCAGCCAAGTGCACTGCTATGCTGGCCATGAGTTGGGACAGTTAGCAGCAGAGAGGCCAAAGGCAGAGAAGGGCATGTGCATGGCAGAGAGAAGGGCCATTTTCTTGCAAAGCTGAAAAGGAGCCACGAGCTGTTCTGGTTGGAAACTGTGCTGATAAATGAAGTTGATCCTGTCTTGTGAATTGTTACTTCCAAGTTGATCCTGATCCCAAACTGTAGCCTGATACTTTCCTAATAAACCTAATGACTATGAGTGTGGTCTGGAGTACTGTGTGGCCACTGCAACTAATTATTGAAACCAGCAGAGAAGTAGAGAGTGCTGTTGGCTGGTGTTAGAAATGGTGAAAAAGTTGGAGCATAGAAGTATGTCTGACCTCTACTTCACAGGAACCAGTTTTGTGATCATCCTGATTCTTATCCCTCATAGATGTAAACAAGTTCAGAAGCTAGATTACAATGCCTGACCAGGCAAACCCAGAAAACGGCAGCATGGTGACCACGCCACAGATCAGAGTACCCAGGAGTTACCAAAAAGTTGAGGGGAACACAGCTGGGCATGACTTTCTGAACAGTTTTCACTGTTGAATAGGCATGGTGAATAGGCAACAAGTGCCACTTTGGGGTGGGACTCTGAGGCTAGTACTGTACAACTAGCACCCTGGGAAGGGAGACTAGTAATTAGTCTGTAACTGTGGGGTAGGAGTCTGGGGTCAGAGTTTTAAGGCTGGTGCTCATGAGAGAGTAGGTTTGGGGTGAGCCATCAGGACAACTGGTAAACCCAAACAGGGAGGCAAGTGCTAGAGGAGCATAGATAGTGTCCCTGGTGGGGGAGTCTGGTGACACAGTTAAACCATCAACATTACCAATATCTAAAGGTAAGGTGACCACACCAGGTGCTACAAGACATAGTTTGGTGCTTCAGAGACATAGCCAACACCCCACTTAGGGAACTAGAAGTGAAGCAGTGTCAGCTAACAACCATAGGCAGGAAGACCAATAAAGAGAGGTGCACCTAGATGGGGAGCCTAGAGATGAAGTAGAGAATCGTAACCTTCAATAAATTAAAATAATAACAAAGAGATAAATGAGCAAACCCCAGGATAGGGGAAGAATGTAATTTCCAGAGCTACCATAGTAAAAAAGAGCTCTGGTAGCATAGTGCCCAAGGCACTTGACTGTTAACCAGAAGGCTGGCGGTTCAAACCCACCAGCTACTCCTCGGAAGGAAGGTTGGGCAATCTACTTCCGTAGTGATACTGCCTCAGAAACCCAAGGAGGGGTCACTATGAGTCGGATCCGACTCGACGGCACATAACATAACATAACGCCATAGTAGAATAGTTTAATGTCCCAAATACAACAAACTATTTACAAAGCATATAGAAAGGTAAGAAATGATGACCCAAATAAAAGATCAAAAGAAGACAACAGAAACCATCCGTAAGGAAGAACAGATAATGCGAATCACTATACATAAAATTTAAAGCAACAGTATTAAGCATGCTCTAGGAATTAAGGGAAACATGGAGGAAAAAAGCTGAAGGAATTAGGAAAAAATTCAAGAACAAAGCAAGAATTTCAATAAAGAGATTGCAATTTTAAAACTGAAAAAACAAGTACTGGAGCTGAAAAGTACAGTAACAAATGAACCACTCTGCAAGGGAATAAAAGCAGGTTTGAATTGTCAGAAAAAAGAATGAAGAAAAATAACATTGTTTAAGGGATCTGTGGAACACCATCAAGTGAAATAATATATGCAGTTTTAGGGATTGAATTGTGACACCCCCCCCCCCCAAATACGTATCAATTTGGCTGGGCCATGATTGCTAGTATTATGAATTATCCTCCATTTTGTGATCTGATGTCATTATCCTATGTACTGTAAATTCTCACCTCAATGATGTTAATGAGGCAAGATTAGAGGCAGTTGTTAATGAGGCAGGATGCAATCTACAAGATTAGGTTGTGTCTTGAGTTAATCTCTTTTGAGATATAAAAAGGATTAAGCAAGTGAGCAGAGAGAGCAGGACCTACTATCACCAAGAAGGAAGAGCTGGGAGTAGAGTACACTATGAACCTTCTAGACCCAGGTAAAGATTGATGCCAAGACAAATGGAGATCTCCAAGGGATGCCAAGCACACAGATGCTGAAAGAAGACAGAGACTTTTCCCATATCCAACACAGAGAGAAAGCTTTTCCCTAGAGCCAGTGCCCTGAATTCAGACTTCAGTCTTCTAAATTGTGAGAGAATAAATTTATTTGTTAAAGCCATCCACTTGTGGTGTTTCTGTTATAACAGCACTAGACAACTAAGGCATGCATTAGGGGAATCTCAGAAGAAGAGAGAGAAAGGGATACAAAGAACTTTTGAAGAAATAGTGGCTGTAAATATCCTAATTTGGTGAAAGACACAAACTTACTCTTCCAGGAAGAAAAGAAATCCAAGTAAAATATATCTAAGAGCCACAACAAGCCATACTATAATCAAACTCAAGAGAACCAAGGATAAAAAGACAATCTTAAGAGAAGTAAAGTATCACATACAAACTCAAAAAAACAAACTCACTCACTGCCACTGAGTTGATTCTGACTCAGAGCAGCACCCATTGGGTTTCCAAGGCTTTAAATCTTTACTAAAGCAGGCTGCCTCATCTTCCTTCCACAGAGCAGCTGGTGGGTTCGAATCACTGATATTTTGATTAGCAGCCAAATGCTTTAGCCAGTGAACCACCAGAACTCTTTATCACATACAAGGGGACTTCAATAAGATTAAGTTGTGATTTTTCCTCAGAAATCATATGGGCAAGAAGGCAGTCAAAAGACATATTTTAAAGTACTGAAAGAGAATAACTGTAAGCTAAGAATGCATATTCAGCAAAAATGTCATTCAAAAATGGTGGTAAAATGAAAACATTGCCAGATAAACGGAGCTAAGAAAATTTGTTACCACCAGGCTTACTGTACAAGAAATGCTAAGGAGAGTCCTCTAGAAAGAAAGTAAGGTCACTAGATAGTAACTAGAAGTTCTATGTACAGGGCTGGGAAAAAGGCTCCATAGCCCTATTAAAGGTAATGTAATGTTTGAAAAATATAAAAACTAGATTTAAGATTTGGTTGGCAAACACAATTGGTATGTCCTTCAGGCTTTATAATGACAAAAGCATAAAACAAAAATAAATCTAAATATATATATTTTATAGTAAAACCTGTGAATGTCAGAACTGTGTAAGGCAGAAACCTGTCAGAGAAGGAAAACTCAATATTTTCCATTAAAACAAGCTTTAGAAAAGTGGGAAAACTGTATCTTCTGAAAGGTGGAAAACTTCCATGACCCAGAAAAACAAGGTAGTCTCCCCACATTCCAGCTCACACAGGTTCCACTGTGTGTGTGTGTGTGTGTGTGTGTATCTATCTATCTAATCTATCATATACTGTTGTTAGGTGCCATCAAGTTGGCTCTGACTCACAGCAACCTTATATACAACAGAATGAAACACTGCCCAGTCCTGCTCCATCCTTACAATCCTTGCTATGTTTGAGCACATCCATTCAGCCACTGTGTCAATATCATCTCATTTAGGGTCTTCCCCTTTTTTGTTGACTCTCCTCTATATCAGGCATTATACCCTTCTCCGTGGAATGGTCCATTCTGACAACATGACCAAAGTAGGTAAAACAAAATCTGGCCATTCTCACTTCCAGGGAGCATTTCAGCTGCACCTCTTCCAGGACAGATTTGTTCATTCTTCTGGCAGTCCATGGTATTTTCAGCATTCTTTACTAGCACCACAATTCAAAGGCATCAACTCTTCTTCGGTCTTCCAGCTTTCACATGCATACCGTGACTTGGGTTAGGTGCACCCTAGTCTTCAAAGTGACATCTTTGCTTCATAACACTTTTAAAGTGTTTTAAAGGTCTTTTGCCCAGTGCAATATGTGACTTCTTGACTGCTGTTTCCATGGGTGTTGATTGTGGATCGAAGTAAAATGAAATCCCTGACAATTTCAATCTTATCTCCATTTATTGTGGTGTTGCTTATTGGTCCACTTGTGAGGATTTTTGCTTTCCTTATGTTGAGGTGTTATCCATTCTGAAGACTGTAGTCTTTGATCTTCACCAGTTAAGTGTTTTAAGTCATCTTCACTTTCAGCAAGCAAGGTTGTGTTGTCTGAATAATGCAGGTTGTTAATAAGTCCTCCAATCCTGATGCTGCATTGTTCTGCATATAGTACAGCTTCTCGGATTATTTTCTCAGAATATAGATTGAGTAAGTATGGGAAAGGATACAACCCTGATGAACATCCTTCCTGATTTTAAACGATGCAGTATCCCCTTGTTCAGTTCTAATGACAGTCTCTTGGTCTATGTCACAGGTTTCTCATGAGCACAATAAGTGTTCTGGAGTTCCCATTCTTCTCAATGTTATCCATAATTTGTCATAAACCACACAGTTGAATGCCTTTGAATAGTCAGTAAAACACAGGTAAACATCTTTCTGGTGTTCTTTGCTTCCAGGCAAAATCCATATGACACCAGCAATGATATCTCTCATTCCACATTCTCTTCTGAATCCAGCTTGAATTCTGGTATTTTCCTGTCAATATACTGTTGCATAACAACAACAACAACATACTGTTGCAACCATTTTTGAATCACCTTCAGCAAAATGTTACTTGTGTGTGGTATTGCAGGAACAACAAGGTCCTTACCCTCTGTTGCACAGAGCCAATTATCACATGTTGAAGCAAGAAAGCAAAATAATTTATTCAATATTCAAGGACACAGAAAGAATCGCTTTTCTAAAAAGACTTCCTGAGCTGAGGAATGGTTAGGGTTTTTAAAGGGAATTGGGCTAAGGGGTAGGAGGGTTTGAGAAATGCTGAGAATGCTTTCTTCTTGTTATTGGGATGAATTATTGTTGCCTTGTGACCTCTCTGTTATTCTTCTGGTCAGTGATAAAAAGCTGTCCTTGGTCAGGAGAATATGTTCTTCAAGTTCCTTGTACCTGCCAGAAAGATTAACTCTACAAGGAGGGGAGAGTATGAGAGTGGGCACCCTCACACCTCTCAATCCACCAGGGATGCTTCTGTTTCTCCTTTACCTTGGTTGCTCCAGGCTCGGTGTCTCCTTTCTCAGGTCATCTCACTCCATAAATTGCAATTATCAGCTACAAACAGACAGTGGGTTTAAGCCAGATGTCCAAAGGAATGTATGAGGAGAAGAACACCTACAATAACTATCCTATTTACATGGAAGGAAGGAGGGGGGTGAAAGAAAAATAGAAAGTTAATCATTGTGGTTAATATCTAATCATAGCTGTTAATTTGTTATATTTCTGCAATTTGTCAACAAAAAGGCTTCTCTGGCCCTTCAACAATAGTAATGATATTGTTCAGTAATTTCCACATTCTGCTGGATCACCTTTCGTTGGAATGGACAAAAATACTGATCTCTTCCAGTCAATTGGCCAGCTAGTTCTCTTCCAAGTTTCTTTTCATAAATGAGTAAGCACCTCCAGTGCTGCATCAGTTTATTGAAACCTCTCAATGTGTATTGGTACAATTCCTGGAGCCTTGTTTTTCACCATTTCCTTCAGTGTAACTTGGACTTCTTCCTTCAATAGGATTGGTTCTTGATCACATGCTACTTCCTAAAGTAGTTGAACATCAACCAGTTCTTTTTGGTAGACTGAATCTGTGTATTACTTCCATCTTCTTTTGATGCTTCCTGGATCACTGAATATTTTGCCCATAGAATCTTTTCATCAGCTCTTGCTTGAGAAATGCTGAGGCTGTTCTTCCCTTTTGGTTTTCTAACCAGGTCTTTGCACATTAAAATACTTTACTTTGTTTTCTTGAGCCGCCCTTTGAAATCTCTTTCTTTCATCATTTCCTCATTTGCTTTAGCTAGTCTCTGTTCAAGAGCAAGTTCTAGAATCTCATCTGACATCCATTTTGTTTTTTTCTTTTTTTCTTGTATTTTTAATGACCTTTTGCTTTATTCATGGATAATGTTCATGATGTCCCACAGTTCCTCTGGTCTCCACTCATTGGTGTTCACTGCATCAAATCTATTCTTCATATGGCCTCTAAATTCAGGTGGGATATAATCAAGGTCTTATTTTTGGCTCTCGTGGAGTTGTTCTAATTTTCTTCAGCTTCAGCTTGAACTTGCATACAAGCAATTGATGGTGTGCTCCACAGTCAGCTACTGGCCTTGTTTTGACTGAAGATTGAGCTTCTCCATCACCTCTTTTCATAAATGTAGTCAATTCCCTTCCTATGTATTCCATATGGTAAGGTCCAAAGTGTATAGCCATCTTTTATGTTGTTGAAAAGAAGTATTTGCAATGAGTAAGTTGTTGGTCTTGCAAAATTCTATCATGCAATCTCTGATGTTATTTCTGTCACCAACGCCATCTTTTCCAAATACTGATGATTCTTTTTTGTTTCCAACTTTTGCATTCCAAACACCAGTAATAATCAGTGCATCTTAATTGCATGTTTGGTCAATTTTAGACTGCAGAAGTTAGTAAAAATCTTGAA